AAAATAGATTTACATAAATCTAGCTATTATTGATTTATCGGATTGCGTTATAAATGCCACGGTTTAGTTATGTATTTTGTAATTGATGTTATTTATTTCTATATTTAGAAATGTTTTGACTTCAGTATTAATATACATTTTTTATTATTTGACTTGCCTTTCCGTCTCGCGGTTAGTGATTTTAACTGCTAAACCAGAGTTCGTGCGTTCGATTCCCAACCAGGAGAAAGAATTATGTTTTGAGCACGATAATTTGTTGTGTCTGGGTCCATTTGTCCATATTATATTTAGAAATGTAAAATTTAAATATGTTTATTAGCAGCCAGTTTAACAAACGCTCTACAATGACGGGCCTGTTGGTCTAGTGGTTAGTGACTGTGACTGCTAAGCTGGAGGTCGTGGGTTCGATTCCCACCCAGGACAAATAATTGAGTGATGAGCACGACTAAGGGAGGACAACAGCACTGCGGAGAGAAGGAAAACTTGACACAAACTTTATACCAACAAGTCTGGCCAGCGTGGTATAGTAGGCCTAAACCTTTCTAAGGAAAGGCCTATGTCCAGCAGTGGACTAGTAAAGGCTGTTGATGACGATGATGATGAGCACGATAATTTGTTCTGTGTCTGAGTGCAGTTTATCTATAATATGTATGTATTTAGAAATATATAAGTTTATGGTTACCATAGCACAGGCTCTGCTTAGTTTGGAATCAGACGGCTGCAATAACCGACATACAAGCGGGCGGAACTGCGGGCAAAAACTATTCTTATATACATCAGCTTCTTTCTTTCATTATCATGACCAGATGTTTAGAAGCGAGGTTCGAAGAAGCGACATAAAGAACATAACAATATATATTTGTTCTAAATTTATTTTAATGAATTTAAATACCTATTTCATTTGTTTTAATTTATGCACTTTTGTTTTGTGACCTGTCATGACTCACCACCTCACTCACAAAATAAATATCATTTTCAATTTTTGTTTTAAGTATCGTTTGAATACAGTGAGAGGCTATTTATTATTTAAAATAATTAATATATTTTTATTTCTTGATTTACTTAGATTGATATTAATCAGGTATTGTTTAAGGGGAAAACCCAAATACTCCAAAATATTTTATTCGTAATTTCGATGTTCCGATTTTCAAAATTCCGTATTTCATAATACTTAAAAATTATAATGTCCATTATTAAAATTTTACGAAATTTATTTATTCACGATAAGGGACCGAAAGTAGTAAATGCGATTTGTTTGATTTCCGATGGTTTTACGTAATATAATGCTCGATGGGTTCTCGGTTCGAAAAACGATATTCCGATTTTCAGTACTTAGAATAAAGTTTTAAATTAAGATTCTGATTCAGTTAGTATAATATTCAGTTACACATATATATTTTAAATAAATAAGTAACGTTTAATTTAATTTAAAAACGTCAACTTTGTTATTAACATTTGTGTGTTAATATTGTGTTTTGTGTTTCTACTGTGTGCGTGAATGCTTTTGGTTAGGTTAGGTTAGAACAGTGTCGATTAACGGAGGTCTGGCCCCCTCTACTATTGGTGACTGGTGAATTTTAGATGTTTCGAATTATCACTAAGTCGGAATTTTTGTCATTCAATCTATTGAAACTCGGTATTTTGATCATAGTCATTATAAACGTTAAGAATATTGAAATTTTTGAATTATAAAAATAGTATAAATGATAAATCGGAGTTATTATATGCCGCATTTTGAACCATTGTGAATTATGAAAATCGGTATTTTAAAATTCGAATTTGTAACTGACGGAATAAAGTTTTTCGTATTACTGTAGTGTACCCATTGTTTAAGGACTATTAGTTAATTGAACTTTGTGTAAATTTATATTTTTTCAAACCTTTTGAAAGTCTTATTGTATTTCAATGAAGAATATAACCTACAAAATATATACGGCTGTCAATTTTTTAATGTTTTCGGTTATTTTATTTTAGCATTTAAATTTCACGAGCAATTTAAGTATTTTTTTGCAAAAAGGAGTTCGTCCTGTGGTGACGGATTAAGAATACAGACTGTCACCACCCCTATTTATCCCGTGGGTGTCGTAAGAGCCGACTAAGGGAGTAAACTACGCAGGATAACAACACTCCAAAGAGAAGGAAAACTTGACACAGGATTTGTGTCAAGTTTTCCTTCCCATCTGGCCAGCGTGGTATAATAGGCCAAAGCCTCCTTTGTAAGGGAGGGCTACATCCAGCAGTGGACTATTAAAGGCTGTTGATGAGTTCAAAAAAAATCCTTCCATATTAACAAACATATTTCAAATGAGAGGATCGATCGACTAATTACATATTTACTAAAGCTTGGCTTTCCATCCATGAGTTTTAATGATGATTCCTATCACTGGTTTTGTTACCATTAACCTTAAGCACGAATGAGGCAGCCTTGTAGAAACTATAAAACTTACAAAATTCATTCATAACTATTAAGATATAATAGTTAATCAATGCAATATGGCCTCCAAATTATAATATAATAACATTGATAACCTTGACCAGGCGTGGACATAAACATTACATCTTATGGGAGAAATTTAAATAATCGATATATTTGTTATATAAAAAAAATTTTGGTTTGTGTACACTTCAAAAACTCAATACGAGTGTCTCGGTGGCGCAGTGGTAGCGTATGCGACTGCTGTTCTGCGGTCTCGGGTTCGATTGCCGGGTCGGATCAAATATTTGTATGCTCTGCAAATATTTGTTTCGGAGTTTGGGTGTTTTCTATGTAGGTATAATTTGTATGTACTTACAAAAACCAACCAACATCAAACAATACTAACAAATAGCACTAAAAACCTATCAGCAATCGCGATTGATTTTCTGACATTTTTTGAAGAGTTCCGCTGTCTGTCTCCGAAAATCATCAGATCTATATGAAATTTAAATGACTATTTAGGAATAAATTCCTTTCCAACAAAAAAAAAAGTTTGGAAATCCGTCTACATATACGGAGTTATGAAAAAAAAAGGGAAAAATTGCCCGATACATGAAAAATATATAAAAATCCGAATTGATAACTTCCTCCTTTTTGAAGTCGGTTAAAAAGTTCTGCACCGATTACGCTCAAAGAAGTCATTGTTCGAATTCGTAGTTCAGTATAATTTGAACGTCTTAAAATGTCATTCATCGGAAACTGATTGTAGAAAATATCTACAGTTTTTTAAACTATCTTCTAAGTCAGTAAAACCCCAGGCAAAGGAAGAAAAATATTATAAGCTTATTTGATTATTTTAATTTCCTTTTATCAGTTTAGTGTAACCATTTTACAGTCATTATTTTCAAGTGTTTCTTTTTTTTTGTCTAATGAAGTGTCGTTATATGGTAATCACTTAATAGTACTATGGTAATCAGCTAATAGTTTTATAATTCTAAGTACTGAATCAAGAATGTAGTTTGTGGTGCATTATTAAACCCATTATTTACGTATTTAAAAATCTTTTAGTGGAATATCAGGAAATAAAAAAAATAAAGTGACCTACAAAAGTTCTACAGGTAGTGGACTATAGTAATTCTTTAATATCTTTTTTTATTTCATTTAAATGGCACACATACAGTTATAATTATAAAATAATTATATTAAACAATCCAAAAACCCATTTGAAAAGTCGCAGAATTATGCAGCTGTTAAAAAAGACTTTTATCTGTGGCCTTTTTTAAAAACAGTCCACAGATAGAAAATGCAGTGCCTAACTAAAAAAATCAAATGCTAATATCTTTTTTCCTAGCCTTTCAAAAACAAAAATTGTTTTACACATAGACTCTAAAAAAGTAGCCGATTTTGCTAGTCCTTTTTTCACTACAAAGCGATGCATTTTGATTCCAAATATTTTATTGTAGAGAGACCCGCCATTGTTCTTTGGACACGATATAACACACGCTTTAAAAATGGTTTTATTGCAACAATTTTATTGCAACCACACTATGCCAAAGCGGATCGTGGGATGGTACGGCTAGTAAGTCATATAGGTAATAATAAAACAAGAGAAAAAGAATTCCCAGATTCAGAAGAATTTCGGCAAATGTCTTCCTAGCGAATATCCCAATCTTTGAGCAATTGACTCACATGTGATAGAACACCGTGTGGTTTTAGTAAGTTCGATTCCGACATCCCAAATCACCATAAGCCCCAACGAGATCACAAATGACTCGTGAATATTTCCACAAGATATTCAGACGAATACAAAAGTGAACATCCGACTGTTTTTAAGATGATTAAGTTGAGTTACCTACATCCGTCCCATTATTTATCATTCTTATTATTTTAGATTTTTATTTGTTTGTGTGGTGAGAGTTGAAGAATACGGAGTGTCACTATTTATCCCATAGGCGTCGTAAGAGAAGGAAAACTTGAAACTAACCCTATACCAACCTGTCTGGCCAGCGTGGTATAGTAGGCCAAAACCTCCTTTCTAAGTAGAGACCTGCCATAAGCACTGGACTAAATAAAATAAAATAAAATCATCATCTTGATTTTATTTTCTCAACTATTCGGCTGGTTCTACCACATTTACGAGCCTAAACCAAGTAAATACAGGATATGGTGTGTGCATTATGTTGGTGATTGTCATTCAACTGCATGTTTTTTTTATAACTGCTTTCTGTAACCTTATATAAATGAATACTGGTAACGCTAATTATTTTAATTATTCGTGATTCACAATAATTCAACTGAGTTAGTTGAATTATTGTGAATAGTAAAAAAGTACCATAGTTTTCATAAGCGATGAGGACCTTACTTATGACAATTATGATAGTAATAAATAACGTCGTTCTCTGAACTCGTTAAGTTCTATTTGTCATTTGGACTACACTGAAATACTCTTCCATGTGATTTCAATTATTTACCCATAAATGAAAGTCTTTTATACGACTGTAACATAAGTAAAAAAAAAGTTGAAGTCGCCAGACTTTATAACTATTAAATTAAAAAAAAGAATGGGTGAAAAAGATTTACTTACCGCTGTTGCGTTCCATGAACTTGCGGTATGAGTCGACAAACGACATGGTTGAATTTTGACCTGAAACGAGATGTAATAATTTAATTATTACTCATCCTTAGTTTTATTATGATACAATATAATTATTATTTATTCAGTGATCACCTCACTTAAAAATCGTAAAAGTATTACACTTGATTTTTTTTAGAAATTTTTAAACTAAGAATATAAGAACGTCACAAAAAATAAAATTTAAATAAACATCAAACTAAAATCCATTGATGCAATGAATAATGTTTAAAAATATATCTAAAAAGAAACACACCTTATTCTTGAAAAAAATATCCAAATGTATAATAGTCAACATAAATTTCACTTTTGTCAAGAACAGTAAAATTACAAAACAATTAAAAATCGAACGAACGAACGCACAACTCGGTCAAACAACAATCGGAAACTGGCAGTCATACAAAATTTAACATTAAAAGTAAATTAGTGTATTGCGAAATTGTGATAATTAGCCTTGAGACGACACTGGCCCACTTGCTCCTACTAAAACATTAATGAAGCTTTATGTACATTGCCTAAAAATCTGAAGAAGGTAACATGTGTAAAACGTGTTTTCGCGTAGTAGCGATCTTGACTTTGAAAATTAAACTACAACAATTTCGGCAACATTTTTCACGTAATACTACCACTTCCTTATCACTTATTACTTCCGTATCACGTAATACTAATACTTCCTTCCTTTCCTTCCACTTAAATATTGTGAATTAAATTTCATTCACTGTTATTTTTTATTTTCTTTGAATCCAAATGTTTTAAATAATTTGCTACTTGTTTGATTTTGTTAAACATCGCAACTTTAGAATTCAGCTTATATTTTTTGTAAAAATTTGATAGTTGTTTAGTTGTTTTAGTAAAAGATTTTGTTACAAATATTTTACATTTTTTAGTTTTTTTAGTTAATATTTTACAATTACATTAATGTTTTTAGCTATACTCTGTCTACTGAACGGAAGATAATCTTCTTCCAAAGTGAATATTGACGTTTATATGCAGTGTGTTTACTTGTAAGGGATTTAAAAAGCAAATGTTGTGTTCTTTTTCTAGAAGCGTAAAAACACGAACTTTCGTGCATTTGTATTACGAATTGGCATCTGCTTATTGGCTCGTTGTTTATCTTGAACGAGATTATTATCTGTGTTATCTTACTCTGACCATTTTTTTTATAAATACTTAATTAAATTCAGTACTTTACTTTATAAGTATGAAGATTTGGTGACGTGAGGTATCAAGTCGTTTTTTATTTTCCATATTGTGTATTTATAATAATTTTAGTTTATCATTTACGAAGATACTATTAAGAATACTATTAAGATAAGACATATTAAGAATACGGAATGTCACCACCCTATTCATCCCGTGGGTGTCGTAAGAGCCGACTAAGGGAACAAACTGCACAGGACAACAGCACTGCAAAAAGATCGAAAACTTGAAACAAACCCTATAACAAACCGTCTGGCCAGCGTGGTATAGTAGGCCAAAACCTCCTTTCTAAGGAGAGGCCTATGTCCAGCAGTGGACTATAGGCTGTTAATGATGATAATGATGATTTAAAAAAATGATAAATTACCAAATTAGGCAGTGTCTGTGTTGTGGTGATCTGACTGCTGATAAACATACGTATGTTTCTAAATTTTTATTTTATTTAGACATTTTTACACCCAAGCACAGAACAAAATAATAATTTTACTCAAATATTAATACTTAAATAAATAAAAATTTAATCAGTTCTATACTTAATCACAGAAAATACATTTATATACTATCAAGTCTTCGTTTGTATAAATTGCATCAATAAATAAATGTCACATATTTTTCATATTATATGCATTTATCATATGAAAAATATTATAAGTGAAATTTATAAAATTGTCAACTGGTAGTTATAATTTGAATCTAGTGGGCTGTAGAAGGCCACTAGATTAAAAGATTAAATGGGGTTTAGATTACTAGGGATTAGACCCAGACTCTCGCATAGCATTAGGGAACTATTAGTGACCATCTTAGATATATCTATTGCCAACAAGGCAAAGCCTCTCGGAAGTGCGAACTTCACAATAGAACAGGAGAAGTTTTGTTTTTACAGTTCTTCCTTCTGTCTTCCTGATTATACACGGACAGCCCTGAAGAGGACTGGTTTGCATGGCCCTCCAATACAAAGAGAGGTTCTTGCCAGACGGGCCGCGGAATTTGATGTTGCGAACTTATATATATATATACGAGTACAAATCGGGGCGAGAACTTTGATTGCGTGATTCAGGATAAGTAATTACTCCGTAGTTCGGTGTGTCTGCGTTAGGTGATACTGATTATATTTTTGTTTCAGTTTTATAGGAAAGTCGCTAGACTCTAACTGCTGCTGTTATATCGATTCGTACCTGGAAAAAAATTGTGGAATGATAACGATCATTTCTTCTGTGTCTGGGTGTAATTCTATACAGAATATCTCTTTGATCTCTTTTTAAAAAGACAACTCTCTTTTTAAAAGAATGTATCCGCAGGGGACTTTACGAACATACATGAAACGGACACAAAGAACACCCAGACTTAGAACAACAATTTGTGAATCACACAAAGTGTCGTCCCTTGTGGGGTTTGAACCTACAACACTCGGCGCAGTAGGCAGCGGCGTGTCGACCGCTTAAACCACTACGCCATCCGTGCAGTCACATGTATTTATATTAGAAATATATAAGTATGTTTATCAGCAATCCGAAAACCATAGTACAGGTTCTGCCTAGTCTGGGATCAAACGCCCGCGTGGGATGTGTCAAGTAATTGGTAGTATAAAACTGATGGATTTAACCTTTTTTTTGTTAAATGATTTCTTTTGCAACACTCTTAAAATAAGAATTCCTTAATTGTTATAATCTTTGTTAATTTAATATGAATTTATCTATGAACATATGAATTATCTATGAATTTCGACGAGGTAATATGCATGTTTTATGAGCCAAGCGAATTGATTATATAGTTAGACATAAATATAAAAATGTCAATGACGCAACTTTATCGTTCATAAAGTTATGAATCTGTGTTTTTTTATTTGCATCTTTAGTTTCGCAATAATTTGTTAAAATAAATGCAATCTGTAGTCAATTATGACTCTGTGCATTCACTTTTTATATGAGATGTAGTAAGTAGGTGTTAAAACAGTTACAAAATGGCTGTTTTATATAATATATATGTATAAATATATACGATAATAATAATATAATATTCTACCACATTCACACAACGCCATCTAGTCCCAAACTAAGCAGTGTTTGTACTATGGGTACTAGATAACTGATATAAATACATATATACTTTTTTTGTGAATACATACATATTATACATAGAAACCATGACCAAATCAAACAATAAATGTTAATGCACACAAATGTTTGACTTGAGCGGGAATCGAACCCGCGACCTTTGGAATAGCAATCCGTTACACAAACCACTACGCCATCCGGTCGTCAAAATATGTTTACACAATTGTCTTGACATAAAAGCTGGGTAACTAAACATCTCTTTTTCTGGTAAGTTTTACCTCGATTTTCCTAAAAAAACTTTACTCGTATTTCCTTTTTTTTGTTTTGATCCTCTTGAGGACTATACTTAGTAATTTGACACTTCAATAGAAACATTATTTGTTTCTGCCAAAAAAAGCTATCCCTTGCGCATGTATACTGCCTCGGTGGTGCCGTGGTAGCATATGGGACTGCTGTGCTGGGGTCTACGATTCGAATCCCGGGCGAACCAATGGTTTGTATGATCTACAAATATTTGTTTCGGAGATATTTTGTATACACAGGTTGTGAATTCAGAACCCAATGTATCCTGCATTTAGAAAAAAATACTGGTTTCGATAGGTTCAAAACTAACATTGTGACTTGACTCCCTCGGTGGTGCAGTAGTAACATACTCGTATGCGACTACTGTGCTGCGGTCCCGGGTTCGATTCTGGGGGATACCAAATGTTTTTATGATCTGAAAATATTTGTTTCGGGGTTTGGGTGTTTTCTATGTATAATATGTATGAAAAATGTATATAAGTATTCTATCAGTCAATCAAATTTTCATAGTACCAGCTCTGCTTAGTCTGAAACTAGATGGCGTTGTGTCAGATGTACGAAATGTTATCATTAAAAAAAATATCAATGGTAAGTCTATTTCGTAGTTAAACATATAAGAATGTAGAAGTGTGCCCAAGGTAGGTAATAAAATGGCAGACAAAAAATGCAAATTTATATTACCAAGCATCATAATTTATAAAAAAATTGGTAAGACTATATCGCTTATGATAGCTAGGATGAATTTCATGGTCGTTTAAGATTGCATCGTAACGTAATTTATTTCGAAACAATTGTTTCTCCGAAGCAAATTAACAAAGAAGATAACATACCGTTTAGTAATCAAATTTACTAATTTCGATTACCATTTACTTGTAATCACATAAACAAATTGAAAGTTAACAATATGCCCGTCGACTAAGAATTGCTTATACAAATAAAAAAACGATTACATGGTGAAATTTAATTTGGTTGTCTGTTCCCATCACATTATTTCTTTATTATCATTTATACATAAATGTTCCTCATTGGACACAAAAGTTACAAGTATTTTGAATCTTGTGTCAACTATGGTGACCGTGCCGTTATGTTGCCATAAATAATAATGAAATGAAATATAGTTCTCTTAGGACCTATAATGTTTTTGTATCCGTGCTTCCCTATTTAATAGGTTGTATGTTTTTTTTAACTCCTTTAATTTCACATCACACACATCACATCAACAGCCTATACTAGTAAACTGCTGGACATAGGCCTCTCCTTAGAAAGGAGGTTTTGGCCTTCAATTTACTTCTGATTAATTTCGTTGCAGGTTCCAAGACAGTTTAACTTTTCTTGGAACTTCCCGAGTATGTGAACTTGGTGTGTTCGTGGGACACTACTGTTGATCCTGGTGTACAGGAGTCATAGAAGTGGACGTCGGAGTATTTTCTTACGACACCCA